ATCGTCGTCGTTCGCATCCATGTCCCGGCTCACCAGGGTCACCTTTTGCCGCACCTGGAAGGAAGAGCAAGGAAGGTTCTTGCAACTGTCTGGGGAAAGCCTTGAGCCAACGCAAAACCTCTCGCGCGCCGCGCGTCACGCGTTCTTCAAATCCCCAGATTAGTTTATTCGCTTCCTATTGCATCCTGTTTTTCAAATGTAACTCAGCCCTTGTGCATTAGCCTCCCATGTTGTATTTTATCTCGGGCAACTGCTTAGAAGACACTGAAAGAGCATTATTAGACCATCTTCCTGGGCCCCAAAATTCACAGGGATGCTGACTGCAGCTGTGGGAATAGAGATGGCTGCAATGGAGAAAGTCGGGGACAAACGGAGAGAAAATACCAAAGTACAGAGACATCGCGCTGACAGCAAAACTCACATTTTCAGGGTCACGTTTTTCCCTGCCTGCTGTGAAAGCTAGACCCTGGAAGGGTCCTACAAAGAAAAATGGATCCCTTTGAACTGCGCAGGTGGAGAAAACAGTTGAGACTCGCTTGGATTTCAAAAATAAATTATTTAATATTAGAGGAGGCAACCGCTCGCTGGATTGTATTAGTCCAGGACTCCATTCCTATCGAGCAGCATTTCTCAACCTTGGCAGCTTTAAGAGGTGTGGACTTCAACTCCTAGAATTCCCCAGGGGCATTCTGGGAGTTGAAGTCCACACCTCTTAAAGCTGCCACGGTTGAGAAATGCTGCTATAGAGAAATAAGTTTGTGGCAAAGCAGGGTGGGCAGGGCTGCATGAAGCTGTGGGTGTGGCCTAAACCAAAATGGGTGGGGCCCTAACTCTCCCGTTCTCCGCCTGCAGCAGGCTCAGGTTCTCAAAGGGATGCAGAGTTAGGAACAGAACATGCAAAGGGCTTTGCTGTCCCAAGGATCTGCCTGCCCTGTGACGGATTTCACCCGAGTCTGAAAGCAGGATTGTAGCTTGCTCTGATCCACGGAGGGAACTCCTCGGAAGGCACTGAATGTTCACAAACATTCTCCCGGCTGGGGAAGAGAAGAGATCAGGGACGCCCCGCAGCAGAAGTGAAGCATCGGTGACAGAAGTGTACAATTTGGCCCAGGAAGAAAAGCTGAGTTGGGACTAGCTAGGTGGGGCTGTGAGTCTTTGACGGAGCTGGAAAAAGAGACTGGGGGGGCGGCAAAAAAATCAGATAAAGGGGAAAGTTCAGGAGGCAGGATGGCTGAAACAAGGCAGATCAGAGAAGGAAGGAGATTTTAACACAAAGGGTGGAAATAACCCTGCAGCCCGCCCGGCGTTTTTATGATCTTGGTGCTCTTTCACTTCTCCATCTTCTCTTGCATTTTCCCTTCCGTAGAACAATGCAGTGAGTTTCCCCAAGTAGTTAGGATTTCTGGCCTCATCTTTTCTGCCCATGGCACCATTGAAAAATAATAAATAACAACAACAAATAATAAAATTGATTAAATGCGTATGCTGCCCGACTTCCAGCAACTCTTGACTTGACTTTTATGTCAAGTTCCTTAATCACCTGGTCAATATTATCTTCTCTATCTGGGAGCTGCACCCCAGAGTCAAGCGGCTTTCTGATTTTTATAGAGAAATTGCGGGAGTTTCTCCAATTCCTCACCTAGAAATAGCTGAGAGTAAAACTGGTATATTCCCATGGCTGTTCCTTAAGTTGATGCAAAGATCAGATCGTGCTGTGAGGCCATTTCACATCCCAGAATTAAGGTCATTTAGTCCAGCCTCTGCTCAATGCAGGAAGCTGGATTAAAACATCCAAGGCAGGCGGTTATCCAGTCTTTACAACAGTGTTTCTCAACCTTGGCAACTTTAAGATGTCTGGACTTCAAGTTGAAGTCCAGACATCTTAAAGTTGCCAAGGTTGAGAAACACTGCTCTACAATGACAAGGAAATCCACCAACTTGCTGGGTTATTGGTTCTTCCACCAATCTGCTTGTTTCTTCTAACCTGATTTTTACAACCTGACTTCCTCCAACTTAAACTCTATTATTCCATGTCCTATTGCTCTGGAATGAGCGAGAACAGATCTCATCCTTATTTTATATTATATTATTTTAGCCACAGCATTTGCAAAGCATCATTCTCTTCTCTTCTCAAGGCTACAGATGCCCAATTCCATCAGTGTCTCTTCACAGTATTTTGTTCCTTGTTCCCGAACGATTCTCTCTGCCCTTTGCAGAATCTGTCTGAATCCTTCATAAACTGCCCAGAACTGGACACGGGACTTGAGATAGCGCCTGATCAAAGCAGAATCAAGTGGAACCGACTTTCTGAGATTTGGAAATTGTACGTCGGTTGAGGCATTCTAAAACGGCCTTTGCTTGTTTTGCAACAACCTCACACTGTGGGCTCATACTGAGTTTGCAATCAGCAACTCCTTCACTGTGTTCCTAATCCAACAGGTAGTGAGACTTAATTAGAGGTCCTTACCCTCATTATTTCGTGATCCTCCTAACTGGAGAAGTTGGGAAGTGAATCTGGTAAAACTCAGGACAAAGCCCCTGTTTTTATCATGCTGGCTGGGGAATTCTGGGAGTTGAAGTCCACTCATCTTAAAGTTGTGAAGGTTGAAAAACACAGTCTCCAGTCTTCCTCTGCCGAATACTGCAACTATCTCACCATGGGGATAGTACAACAGCCTGAATCCCAGTGACCCCCTCTGCAAAGGCCACAAAGCCCTCCTGCGCTTCTTAAAGCGACTTTCTACTACTCCACATTTCCCTCCACCCCAAATCGTAAGACCTTCCCTCTCTGCCCACCCAGGATCCCCAGTCCCCTCTGCGCCAAGGCCGACATCTCACCGTCCCATCAAAGCGGCTCAGGGATTGCACGAGGAAGGTGGCCCAGCCCACGTGAAGAACTGGTGTGGGGCTGCCCTCTTCCCACTT